GTCACATATTATTAACTAACTAGCAAGTATTTGCTGAACCTCTATTTGGAAATAAGTGGTAAGCAGGACAAGGGACCTGTAATATTTTTAGAGGTGCAAACATAAGAGAAGAGGAGAAGGTGTAAGTTTCTCTCTTCAGGAAACTTATGAGGAAGTCAGGTAGAAAAGACATAACCATGGAAAGCTAGAGAACAACTTAAGATAGTGCATATAGTAAATATAAAATGAGAACACTCAATAATCCTGTCATGAAATTAAACAGGTGAGGAGAAATAATGGAAATGATTGAGGCCCAGATTGGCCAGCAAAAGCTTCATCAAGATGATACTTAAAAGCTGGAATTTAGAAGGGTAGGATTGAGATGAATGGAGTCTCAGACTGGACACAAAGGAGACAGAAAATTAAGAAGACAGCTAGATCAGGAGTGAACCATAGAAATGAAGATCACGCGGAGGGTTAGCAACAGGGGAGTGGGAGAAGGAGAAGGGGTGAGAAGGTACAGAAAATAAGTAGCATAGACAGTAGATAGAAAATAGATAGGGGACAAGGTAAGAATAGTAGGGGAAATATAGAATCTAAAGAACTTGAGACACGTATTCATGAACTAAAGAGGGGGAATGGTGGGGGAGGGGTGTGCAGGGTGGAGAACAGAGGGGGGGAATAGAACAAATGTAATGACATAATCAATAAAAAAAAGTAAAAAGGAGACAGAAAAGTGATGGAGAATTTTGAAAGAGGACATAGACTAGTCTATCTCTGGAGTATAATTGAACGTTGACAGCTCATTCTTTCAGAGTGGGGGATGCTCTATGCAAAATGATGCTGGAAATACATCTGATGATAACTTTTAGGTGACTACCATGACTAGCGGTTCTCCATAAGACTCTTCTGTTGATAAAGAACAGAAGCCACTCACAATAAGTCAAGTGAAAAGTAGACAGAAGAATTGTTAAGTTTATAACAGGAGACCTCCTGTACATTCAAAAGCTGTTCATGGGCCAGGAACCAAGAACCCTGTGTATGACTTAAGGCCGCATCATCTCAACATCTTCTTTTATTTCTGCCTCATTTTTTCTCTTTCTTTCAGTCCACCCACTCTGCTTATGCCTCTTGCACATGGTTGAAACGTGGCTGCCCTGATCCCTTCCTTGACATCAAAACCTTTGTTTTTCTAACATCTATCCTTGAATAATTACGTCCTCTCTGGTTTTTAGTTTACATGCTTAAGAGAAGGAGACACTCTTTAGTAGCTGGCAAGGCAGTTCATTGGCTGGTTCAGATGAAATATCTACCCCAGTCCAACCAGCCATCACTCCAAAATGAGAATTTCCCAGTGGTGTCTCCCTGCATTGGGAGCTCTGGGTAGGGCAGTCTAAGCTGGAAGAACAAATACATGGATATGTCCCATGATCTATAGAATTGTTAGACTTCCAGGGAGCATATGGTATGTTCCATACACATTTGGGAAGCATCTAATCTGTGTACCTGCCTGTGGGCGAAACTTACCCAAAGCTTTCTCCTGAAAGAGCTGTGGTATCCTGAGAAGAGCTGGTCCTAAATTGAATATTGAGTCCACCACCTCTGAAACTGAGCTTCAATTGGTTACCTGTCGAATGAGGATAATAGCACCTACTTGTTGGCATTGTCTGGAACGAACATGAGGTAACGTATATGTTATTCTCTGCTTGGCACAGGGCAGGAGCTTAGTAAATGAGATTTCTTTAACTTCTCTGATGCTCTACGAATATTCCACAACAGAAAATGATTTGCAATGGATTTCAACTTATTTTTAGTTGCAGAAGTAATCTATAAGTGTCTCAATATTTAAAAGTATGTCTTAGAAATTATATTATTTCACTAATACCTATTTTAGTTTCTTTTTTCAAACTAAAACACAGTTAGTGTTTTTAGCATTCTGTCCAAGAAATCTTTGCCTATAGGGTATGTTTTAAATAAATAAAGTCTTTTAAAAGTACAATCACAGTGCCATTCTCACACCCAATACATTAAAAATAATTCCTTTGGCTCCAACTGTGTGGCTCAGTTGGTTGGAGCACCATCCTGTATACCAAAAGGTTGTGGGTTTGATCCCCAATCAAGGGGGCATATGGGAGGCGACAAGTCAATGTTGCTGTCACATCAATGTCTCTCTGTCTCTCCTCCTCTCCAAAATAATGAAAAAAGTGTTCTTGGGCAAGGATTAAACAAAATAAAAGTAAAAACAATTCCTTGATATCACCAGTATGAGGTCTATGTTTGATTTTCCTCAATCGTCTGAAAAATAGGTTGTTTGTTTTGAATCAAAATCCAAAATATATACCTTGCACTCGATTGGCATGTCTTACACACTTCAATCTGTCTGTAATCATTCTCCCTTATTTTATGCTATATATTTGGTGGGAAAATGGGGTCATTATACCTGTAGAATTTTCCAATTCCGGATTTGTATCTTCATGGCTTCATTTAGCAGGTTCTTCTATTCCCACTTTCCCTGACAACTGGTACATAGATCTAGAGGCTTAATTAGGTTTAGATTCAAATTATTCTTTTTGAAAACCTATAAAATGGTTTTTACACTGTCTTTTATCTTTTAAAAGATGAGAGTTTGAAATAGCAGCTCAGTAGTACTCATGGCATTTTGCACTTAGGAATACAAGATTCCCAAGACAGAAGGAAGTAAGTCACTCTGGTTTCTGACTCATGTATGAGTGAATCCCCTTCACTAGGAGAGTTAATGGTGTTGATGACTGTTATCTGCCAGAAAATGCAGATAGAAATCATAATTACCACTTTATCTTTAATCTAATAGGGATGTCTTTAGTCATATAGTACATCTTTGGGTAAATACACTTACATACCTTTAATTAAAGATATCAATTTCTTGCCTACATTCTAAAGTAGGAATAAAAGTGTTTGAAATGACTAGTGAGTGACTAGAGAAACTGCCAGAAGAAAGTAGATATCTCTTTGAAATTTTTATGTCTTTTATAATTGTTTAAAATGAACAAATACCAACTAGGGGTGGAAAGCAAACTCAGGCACAATGAAGCAGGTCTGTAGTGTAGCTCCACAGGGCCGGGGATGCACAGTGAACACTAGCCCTCTCTTCTCTACCTAAGCCAGGGACAGAGAGCTAGACAAAGAAATCAGAGACACAACAATAAAAATGATTGGTCTGTGTCTGGTAAAGCTATTGGAGAATGTGACTCAGGTCCACAGCAATAATGATCTTGCAGACACTCTGATTTCCTTTATTAGGCAAGCCATTCTCTTCATCAGGGACAGAAAACTATAGGGCTCTCTGAGCCCGAGGAACATGTCAGATTCTTTTCCCCAAACTCTCCACTTAATAAATTTCCCCCCTTACCTGGAGGGAGGAGGAAAGTGAGTGAGGAGGTAGGGTGCAGCCAAGATTGATAACTCAAGGGAGGTTTAATCAACACAGAAACAAGCAGAAATAAATGTTCCTCCATCACTAAAGTCTACGATAAAAAAGAGTAGCATAGGTAGAATCCACTTTCAACACAGCCTTTTGAGCTGTAAACACCCTCCCATGTAGTTGGTCCACACTTCCACACTTATAGGAGCTTGTGTTCAATTGAACAAATGTTTGTGGAGTGTGCGAGAATCACAATGCTGGCAGATGCCAAGATGAAAAAAAAAACCACACTCTCCACTGACCAGGACTGCGGCTTTTAGTGGGTTCTCACACAGGTGTACACAAGATAAGTGTGCAGCCCCCAGTGTGGGGCATCAAGTGAGGAGTAATGGCAGACGTGGAGATGCTCAGCTTAGACTTTCCTTGAAGAAATGACTGAGTGTCCAGCTGCAGGGACTGTGGTTACTGCAACGTCCAGCTGTCAGCTCCTTCATGGTCTGCTTCCGCTTTCAAGCCATGGACATGCTCTTTTGGGCAATGCCTGCCCAATGACCGAATCGGGTAGTAATTGAGATCACACTCTTTTTGGGCAGCCCGCACCGTTAGCTAAGCAAGGTGGTGATATAAGGGCCTGAACTTTTCTTCCCAGGACGTTACTCCTCCATCCGGTAATTTTTGCTCCCAAGCTTCCCACTGAGCTCTTGTGGGATGACCAGCAGAGTTCCAGTTTGCTGGGAGTCAGAGATTCGGCAGGATATAGGACTTTCAGTGCTAAAATGGGGAATTTTCAGGCCACCTAAGATGGTTGGTCACCCTAACAGGTGTAAACCTTGTCACGTCGGCATCAGGGTCTGACAGCTCCCTTTGCCCAGTCCATCTTCCTTCCTTTTCCCCTTCACGGGCATCGCTCCCCAGTACACTTTCTGTCCTCTTGATTTCATCTCAGTGTCTGCTTCCCAGAACAGTTGCTCTAAGACAGGGGCATGTGCAGCACAGCAACCAAGAAAAGACATGAATACTAAAAGATGAGATGAGGCTGAAAGAAAGTAGGAGAACTGGAGAAGGATTAATTTGATAACTACAGGGATGCTCCTGTGTATAAACTTTTCAGCAGACTATTCATTCCATATCCTTTGAAAAAGGGAAAAAAGGCATATATATAAATACTTAATAACTTCGGGTTCCCTACACTGCCTTTGAATGCTCACAATGAAGGTTTTGTCAAAAAGAAAAGGCTAACTGACTTTTCCTGTATCCTTCTTTAAACACGCTTTGTTACTAAGTCCTATGACTTAATAAGAGAAGTGAAAAGAGCTTCATCTTTCCTCAGAATTATTCTTAAAATCAAGAGAGAATACGGACAGAGCATTACTGCTGGAGAAAGGGGAAGGCATCTTTCAGGGCCAGGACTAGAATAAGGTGAGCGAGGTACCTGGGGTGCAACATTTAAGTGGTCGCTCACTGTCATGGTTGTGTACAGTTGGTACTTGAACGAAGCTGAGAGTAAATACCTTGTTAAATATTGCACACAGGTGCCTTGTTTGCCTCACCTCATCAGAGCCCTGCTATCCGTAATAGTATCAGGCAACTTATGCAGAACATTTGCTCTTTCCTGCCCCAGGTACAAAGCAATTGTCCGGCCAATGGATATCCAGGCCTCCCATGCCCTGATGAAGATCTGCCTGAAAGCTGCATCGATCTGGATCATCTCCATGCTTCTGGCCATCCCAGAAGCTGTGTTTTCTGATCTACACCCTTTCCACGAGGAAAGCACCAATCAGACCTTCATTAGCTGTGCACCATACCCACACTCTAATGAGCTGCACCCCAAAATCCACTCCATGGCTTCCTTTCTGATCTTCTACATCATTCCGCTGTCCATCATTTCTGTCTACTACTACTTCATTGCTAAAAATCTGATCCAGAGTGCTTCCAATCTGCCTGTGGAAGGGAATATACACGTCAAGAAGCAGGTGGGTGCTAAGGATGGATTCATTTCCTCCTTGGGGATTTGATCCCTTGCATTTCTTTTGAACCCCACTGACAAGTACAGTAGTTAGGTGATCACATCACCTGATTCTACAATTACGGGAGTTGGGGGGATCTGTGTCCAGGTGGCAAATGGAAACTCCTAGCCACAGAAGCCCAGCAATTCAGGTGTTCTTTATAAACGTGTTCTCTTATTAAAGATCGGAGCTAGAGAGGTGTTGAGAACCTGAAGGATTTTAGAGCAGGGATGTCAAACTCATGTTCACCAGGGGCCACATCAGCCTAGCGGTTGCCTTCAAAGGGTCAAATGTAGAGCTCCTTGCCCCTAGTTAAGGAGTAGTTACATGAATACAGTCCTAAAATTACATTCGGCCCTTTGAGAGCAACCTCAAAGCTGATGTGGCCACTGGTGAAAATGAGTTTGACACCCCTGCTTTAGAGTATGAGTTCTTTTTTGAGAAATAGCTGAAAAAAGTATTGTTTTGTTATTGTTGTTGTTTTTTAAAAAATAAAATGTTGAGGCTCAGAGAGATGTGACTTCTTTAAATTATGATCACATGGTTTGAATAGGACGAGGATTTCCACATGGGGAAAAAGCAGAGGGGGCAGGAAATGAGGCTGGTTGAAGAAAAAGAAGTAGTTTGATTAAGACCGGCTCACACTGATTCAGTTTCCAACCCAGGCTTATGACTTACCCTCTGTGAGCCTCAATTCCTTTATCCACAATATAGAGTAATAACCCCTATGTTGTAAAGCTGTTGGAGGATTGCAAGAGAGCATATGCACTCCCTAGCCTGCCCGGAAGGCAGGATGCCCTTCCTGTGTGTTAGAGTCCTTTGCTCAACCATGTAACCACTGCAACTTCATCCTTCCGGTAAGAATGGTAGAAGCCAGAGGCTTTGGCTTTCTACTTTTTCTCAGAACTTCCCTTCCAGCCCAAAACTACATTACATATTAATGATGGAGATACAGAAAGACCTCCCAACCATTTCAATGTACAGCTAACTCAGTTGGAGGCTTCACGCTTCAGAGTTGATTTCAGGGGGGAAGGAGAGGCTTTATTTGTAAGGGGGGAGTGACAGGTCTCAGAGAAACTATTTCCCTGATGGAAAGACCTCTCAATAGTGAATGGACATCGTATTCCAAATTCTTTCATGAGAAAGATGCTTACCCTTGCAGTAAGAACCTTCCTCTATAATATGGTCCAGAAATAACTTGAGATTGATAAAAAATAATAATAACAACAACAAAAACAACAACAGCTAATTATCTTAGTTTGGCCATTGAGGAAGAACTAAGTTGACTGTGGGAGTTTTGGGTTTTTTTTTTGTGTGTGAGCATCAGAAAAAATAAGACATTTCTGGCCGTGGAGAAAGACACGAAGTCACATGGCTGATAAACTGCACCAATGCCCTCCTGAGAAAAGAGAGCACTTACTAGAATTTCAGTGTGCAGTCCATTCAAGCGTGTAATCAACTTTGCTTAAAGATCTGTTCTTGGTGGCATTGGTCTAATTGTATTCTGTCTCACGGATTTCTGCTTTCTGGCTTCTTCATTTCTGTGTTTCTGACTCTCCTTTTTCTATCTGCTTCTGATGCTTTTCTCTCATTCATCTGATTCTCTCCTGTCCTGTTTCTCCTACTGAAATCATTTTCCATGGCTTTATGAACTTGCCTCTTTCCCTAATTCTTCCCCTCTGTCTTTCTGTCTGAGTCTTTGTCTGCAATCCTCCCTCACTACCCCTGGGTCCCTCTCTCCTCTCTGTGTAACTCTCTCCTCAGATCGAATCCCGGAAGCGCCTTGCCAAGACGGTGCTGGTGTTTGTGGGCCTCTTTGCCTTCTGTTGGCTCCCCAACCATGTCATCTACCTGTACCGCTCCTACCACTACTCCAAGGTGGACACTTCCATGCTCCACTTCGTCACCAGTATCTGCGCCCGCCTCCTGGCCTTCACCAACTCCTGCGTCAACCCCTTTGCCCTCTACCTACTTAGCAAGAGTTTCAGAAAGCAGTTCAACACCCAGCTCCTTTGTTGCCGACCTGGCCTGCTGACCCGGTCTCACAGCACCGGCAGAAGTACCACCTGCATGACCTCCTTCAAGAGTACCAACCCTTCCGCGGCCACTTTCAGCCTCATCAATGGCAACATCTGTCATGAGGGGTACGTCTAGACTGAACACTGCCCCTGCCCCCCAGTCCCCCTGATTTTGCTTTGTGGCTGGTAAGAAACCCTCACATCTGTCGTTGTCTCTGTAACCTCTAAAGACCCCCTGTGGTGCTCAGGAGTGGTATAGGCTGGCTGGGGACAGGCCTAAATGGATCACTGTTAACGTTCGAAGGGCCCATCAAGGTTTACCTTTCTCATTTCAACTTGTGAATGCTTCTCCTGATAGGAGGGAAAAAGGCAAAGTGTACTTTTTTTTAAAGAAAAAGAACCAAACAGAAAATTACTATTCTAAGCATCAATTTCTGACATACAGGCGTGGCCAATCAAGTCATAGAAACTAGATGAAGAACCAAATTTATATAGCAGATCAGATTATATATCAGATGTCCACTTCGTGAAAGACTTCACCTTGTCATTTCTTTGAGCAAGAGCTAGTGCTTTAGAAAATATGACTTGAGTGGTGTTTCAGGAATATTTCTAGTCACGAAGAAAGAGACTCTGTTGACACTTATAATATGAAGGACAGTGCCCACGTTAATAACACTGGAAGCCATTTTAAGACAAATTCAAGTGTTGTACATTACTGAGGACATAGGAGAAACATTTGAGATACTATTTTAAGGCAAAACCACAACCAAACACATAGACATGTATGTAAAGATCCATGTGTGGCTATGGAAACCTCTCACATTCTGACTAACTTCATGAAAGTCCTTTTTGCCATTGCCCACTTGCCATCAGTTCCACTGCAGAAGGAAAAATTCTTTTGGGGGAAGATCGATCATGATATTGATTCCTCAAACAATACAAGAGCGTAAAGTATAATGTTTATTTTTAGTGTACAAGAGTCTCAGTCAAATGTACTTATTTCGATTTGGATGTCCTTGTCTGCGTTGAAGCGGTAGCTTCCCAAGAGGGAGAAAAAGGATCACATCTGGGTGAAAAGAGGAACATGTTACATTAAATCAGTGCTTCACCTGAAGTAAGTGGGAGGAAATGAATACAATTTCAATGACATGGATTTCTATCTGAATATGTAAAACACAGCTCTGGGGAGCTTAGCTTTAAAAACTGATTAAAAATAGCTACAGATATATTAAGTTTCTACTCAAGAACAATGTTTACAAAGCAGCCCATGTGCAGAAAAATGCTGAATTGTAATCTTCTGAGTAAAAGGATTTGACTATCTTACTTTAGAAACCCGAATCAAGGGTTTTGTTTCTTGGGTTTTGTTTTCTTGGCTTTAGTTTGGTTTTTTACCCAAGGACAGGCCAATTTAAAAGATTGCAAACATGTTAACTGATTTTCGGATAAATAACAAATTCTGTAAATATGCCCTAACCATTAGGGCCTAATATGTATACCTTACATCCTAAGAGCATTTTGATTCTGTTCTTCTCTATCCAAGTGAGACAGAACAACTAGCTCTCTTTTCCACGTGATGCATATCAAAAGGCTTTTGTCTCTTGATACAAAGAAACACTCACAGTCTGCAGAAATTTAGAAGACCAAGACTGTTATAAGGACTTGGGTTTACAGTTGTATTAGTCACAGTGAAACCACTTCACTTGTGTTTGCTGCATGCACTTACATACTGCACACACCTGCTTTCCTTGTAGTCCACAATTACAATGGACAATTTCAAAAGCAAGACAGGTAGTATAGGTGAAAGAACCAAGATTTGTAGCTTGACCTTCCAACTCTGGCTCTAGCTAAATGAACTTGCCTGTCAGTATCCCTCCTCTAGAGTCATTTTTTCATCTCTAGAAGACAGTGCTAAGGTCCCTCCTATTGCTACCATCCTCTGAGTTTTGTCATTGTTTTTAGTTCTGTGTCTAAAGCATTTATGGAGCACCCTGGCCAGTATAGCTCACTTGGTTGGAGGATTGTCCCATAAACTGAAAGGTCATGGGTTCATTATCCAGCCGGGGTGCATGCAAGAGGAAACTGATCAACATTTCTCTCACATCGACGTTTCTCTCACATCAACGTTTCTCTCCCTCTCTCTCTCCTTCCCTTCCCCTCTCTAAAATCAATAAGCATGTCTTTGGGTGAGGAGTAAATAAATAAATAAGTAATTAAATAATTAAATTTATATGGAGCCCAGCTGCTCACAGTTGCCACATTTCTATTACCCTTCTCTTGGCAAATCATTTAACCACATTCACATCCACATGAAATGGAAGGAGACGGACTGTCCCATAACTTCTAGGGGCTCCTTGGAATGGTTTGTATGAATGATGTCCCATTAGCATGCTCTGTTTTGGAATCAGAGTGGAAAGAAACATAAGAAAACACATTGATCAATCTCTTCATTATACAAAGGTACTCTCCCTATTAACCCTTTTCAACCTCTATGCACCTGTTTTTTGACCCACTGCTCCACAATTTTACCGTTGGCTTCCTTCGAAACTCTTGAGTGTAAGTGATTTCATTTCTAGTTAGTTGCTAAGGTGCATAACATTCTGGGCACCTAGTGTAACTTGTTTAAGCATATCTAATCTACCTTCTTTCAAAGACATTTTGGGAGTAGGACTCACCTTAATGTCTCCTTCATGGTAACTTTATAACATGCTAACTTTAGGTCAAACATTGAAGGGACTGAGCTCTAGGTTTAACTGTGCCCTTAGGCAAATCCTGTTACCTCTTTGAGACTCTTAAATGAAAGGGTTGGTGGAAGCATTTGCCAGCAGGTGGCCTAGGGCTGGTAAAACTATTGTGTGCATCAATTGACAGCTTTGCTCAAAGCTAACTGGGGTGAACTTCACTGGGCCCTTCTCTAGGGAAGTCAAATTTTTACTTCACTTCAAGAACATAAAATCCCAGTGCAAGACCCACACTCTGATGCGGTATCACCTCTCTTCTAGGGTGGACTGCTGCAGAGCCTTAGAACTAAGACATTTCACGCCTGGCTTCCAAAGATAATCATGTTTAGCACTTATTTCTTTGGTGAGGAAAAAAATCAATTTTTGCTCTGGAAAACCATCTGTGTTTATTCAATTGACAGACACTACCTTTCAATCTATCTTAAATTGAGCCTCCCCGAGGCAGGCAGCTCAATAGTGATAGATTAAGCAATAAACAAAGCAGTCGTCCCACCAATGGCTGCTGCTGGCAGGGAAGGCACAGCGGCTGGTAGGAGCAATTATTCCACAGCGAGTTGATCCTCCCAGCTTGGGGAAGACAAGGCCCCTCCCTCTCGTTGATCCGATGATTCCTATAACTGGGGATGGCCAAACCGTGTTGTTCTGGCTGTGCTTGATCCCGGACTGAACCTGGCCTTCTGCCTCATTAGCAAGTCCTGGATTTCCCATTTGCCCTATAAACACTTTGGTTTCATCTTGAAGGATGAGGAACCCTTAGGTAAATAAACAATTTAGAGGCTGCTCACATGGACCAAGCTCAGCTTGTTACGAAAATGTATATTGAACAAAAGTAACTGAATTTGTTTATAAGACACGGGTGCGGTTAAGTTATAAACTCTTCGTTTGTGCCCAAACTAGCAGTCAGCTCTTGGTTTCAAAGTCTATTCATGCACCGAATGGCTTCTGTAATAGAGATTAGCTTTGTTTGGGGACTACATAGGGAATGACATCCTCCATCCGTGGATTACAACGTAGCTAAGTCACTTTTCTCAGGAGCCAGATAGAGATGATGACCCTGAGAACCTGTCTATATGAGAGGAATGAATAGTCTGCACTTGTGTTGTGATGAATGCAAACTTCTCATTTGGGCCCTTCGCATCCACACCAGGAGAGAATTAACCCTGGGTTTTTGGGAAAAAGGCATCACGGTTTGCACATTTGTCTAGTGTTTGGCTGAATTTTAATGACATCGATTAACAGCTGACAACAACAAAATTATTCACTGTCCTGGGACCAAGCTTCATGTGTGCTATTCCATGAAAGCAAGCCCTAACGACCTCTACTTTATCCTGTATCCATATGGTCATCCCTCTCGGCTCTCACCTGGATATGATTCTGTTGATATATTCCAGCTGAATGTATCTAGAACAATCAACAAATAGCACACTGAGAACAGACTTTTCTCTTGTGAGGCTTCATTTTTAAAGATGCAGTCAATGGATTTTATGTAAAATTTTAAAAGTTTAAGAGCCCCTGGGTGCTCTCTATTATATGTGCACAATTAAGTTTTAAAATGCTTTGCATTTACCTACCGCTCATGGTCTACACTTTTATACTCATTGTCTCATCTAATCCAAGCCCTTCCCTCTTCCCTGCTGACCAAAGAGCTGCTTTACATCGCTGACCATGGAATTTTGCAAATGACATTTGCTAGTGACAATCTATTATTAGATGAAGAGAGCCATGAAACTATGAGGCTGAAACATGTGAAACTGCAGCTATTGGACTATATTTGACCTGCAAAAAGGTGATTTCATAAGGTGCCATTTCATTTGATCGCATGCATCCTCAAGGCTTGTTCTTTGACACTGAAGAACAGAACCGATCATTGCTTTCCCAGCTATAGATTAGTATCTGTCATCCCCAAAGCAAGTCTGTTTAACTTGGCACAAAGGAATGAACCATGTCATTGTTGGTGGCCCCAGAAGAGGCATTAGTATGGAGAGCATTCTGCATCACAATGAAGTGGAAGGCGAAAATAAGAAGGGCAGGATTCTAGGGAGCAAGCAAAAACACTAAGCCCCAAAACACATTGCATTTGTCCCAAACTTGAATAGAGTTCTTTGGCTATAGAAGTCCTGGAAGAAAGGGGCTCAACTTCACCAAGCACCAGTGACGTGCCAAATGCAGTGCTAAGCACACTGCCATGCATCCTCACAAGCACCTCGAAGGGTATGCGGATGATGTAGCTGGGGCTCAGGGAGGTTCCCTCATGATCCCAACATCACATGGCACAGGTGAATGGCAGAGCATTACTGTGGACCTGCATCTCTCTTAAGTTCATTCTGTTACTCATCATTGCTTTCCAAAACTAGCCCATGTGAGAAATTAAGTTCACGGTATCTAATAATCCTTATTCTCTGCTCTAGGTTTTGTCCTAAGGCATGAACTAGTGATGAAGTCAAATAATACCCACAAAGAGCATCAGAGATATTTCTAAACACCAAAGTCAGGGGCTCACCGCAGGAAGAGGCTGAAATGTGACAAAGTTGGCAGAAAAGGAAATCCCTTAGCTCAGTTGCCTCCAGAGGCACAATTTATTTGCAGACAGAAACCGTGGGATTAATTCCCCCGCCAGTTGAGGCTAACTAAGGAGACAAAAAAAAAAAAACCTCGTGCAGAGAGAGGACCCAAGTGAGAACAGTCAGTCCTGGTATCCTTCTTTGAATCAGGATTAGCTGGAGAAACGGGTTCAGGAAGAAATGCAAACACCCACTCCCCTACTTCCTCTCCAAAAGAGGAAGACATGACAGTGGAGGGTTTTCCAGGGCCTGGAGACCCAGGCTGCCTGAACAGCCTCTAACAGAAAAATCTCTCCTGGACTAAAGGGACCCAAACCTGAACACCACAGCACACGATGCCCTATATACCCACATTCTAATAGGTAAGATTATTTTCTTTTTTTCCCCAATTTAAAGCTTATTCCCAGAGCCATATTATAACATGGAAGGACTCACATAATTTTATGGTCTTTTAAAAGGATCATTTAAATAGACACTAAAACGCGGCACATACAAAACCTCGTTCATTTCCAAACAAGCTTGAAAATGTGGGTATAACTAAGGATTTCAGTGTTCAAGGTATACCACAGAATTCGGGCCTGTTGGGAATCCAGATGGTTTCATTACTTTGCTTCAGTTCTAGCTATTTATATCGATATATCAATACTGATCATGTACAACACTAATAAAGTAAAGCAGTTTTTCTTAAAATTTTTTTTCTGTAACCTAGCTTAACTGATTCCAATATGACCTTTCTTGCATTCCAGGCAGCAGGATTGTAGGTAATCAAATTTGTTGAAATGATCAATTCATGGAGTTGTAAAAATACATGGCACCAACTTGTTTAATGTCATGTTCTGTTTTGTTTTAAATATTAAACCCATATTTTGTAAATTATCATTGTACTTGTTACTGTTAACTGTAAATATTTCTTGCATTAAAAATGTGCTCTGTGTTAAATAACTCAGAACAAGTTCCAGGTGTGGAACTTAGTACAAATAATGTCATGGCTTGGCTTTGCCTAGACTCCTTAGACTAAGGAACAATTTATAAGACAT